CTTTGCATGTTAACTAGCTGCTTCTGCTGCCTCTAGCGCGTGCGGTCTGAACGTAGCATTAAGATTTCTCAACCAAGTTGATGCATGCATGACTATGCTGCCTTACTAATACTGACACTAGTGAGAGCAATGCTATACTTAGGGTCTTAATTGTAGTGATTGAAAGGTTTATATGGTATAGAAGTGTCCAGTATTCACTCTTGTAGAAGAATTTGGTGACATGAGCTGCCAGCAAAAGGTGCATAGCCATGTTTATGTCTCCTAAAGGAACCTGGTGCAAAAAAAATCGTTTTAGACTCAAAAAGGACTAAGTAAACACCACCAGGATGAATACATGGCATGTACAATTTTATTTAAAGTAGCAATAAGCAAGAAAGCTCATGTAATAATTGGTCCTCACCCTCACCTCACCTAATGTCTTGGTCATTTGCCTTTTTTCCTTTCAAACATAAAGGTACGGTGCGGAACTACATTGATTTATTGCGTTTTTACTTCCTGGTTCCAGAGCCATTTGAGGGTTACAAAGAAGCCTCCGGATCCTTTGAAAATATTTAAACAACAACTTATTTAGGTTGAATCGTCTTCTATTGTTATCTTGCCCTACGTCATTGTCTCTCTTGACATGGTATCCTGCACAGCACTTCCTCTAGGGGCGGTGGAGGCAATATGTGTTTTGTGTGTTGTTACAGTTTGAAACACTGGGTGGCATTATTACTTGTTGTTCCCTTAAAGATATGTCTATGTCATTTCGCTTTTTTATTTATGTTTTTATTATAGTCATATTACGTGACTGGGCTCTTTAAAGTCGTAGGGAAACTGCTCTTCCAACCGTTGCATTTCGGAATTCTCCCGAATGGCTCACAACTTTTCATGAGTGAATGAAGTGAATGTGATTGGTTGTTTATCAAGGGAGCAGGATTGTTATGGCGGAAGTTTCGCAAGCAAGTTTGATTGTGGCCGGTTTCTCGGAAGCATCTTGCTAACCGGTTAGCAACTTAGTGCTAGTAGGTTCCCAATGGGAAATTCCATTGGGACCAAGTAGGACTAAATTGGTGACTTAGAAACGACACTGTCAAGGAACGCTATGGACAGCAGAAACATGCAAGAGGAGGAGAGTTTAGTGTTGGAGGTCGTGGATGAGTCTCCTCCCTCATACATTTTTAGAGGTGAAAGGTGGGGACGAAGATGTTGTGGAAGAGGACGCCAGGGCGGCAGAAGCTTGGTTTGGTGTAGAAGGCTTACAGCCGTACATGTTTGAGCCCTTTCCTCACAACGCTGCCAGTTCTGTTAGCTCTACGCCTGCTGAAGACCAGAGATGGGAAGTAACGAAGTACAAATACTTTGTTACTGTACTCAAGTAGATTTTTCTGATATTTTTACTTTACTTTACTACTTATTTTTATGCCGACTTTTTACTTCTACTCCTTACATTTTTACACAAATATATGTACTTTCTACTCCTTACATTTTAAAAAAATTGTCTCGTTACTTTAGTTTTGAATCATTTCAATGGAGTTACCGTTATTATTTTTCACGTCATCAATACCAAATTCAATCTAATTGGATGGGAATCTACGTTGCATTTGACGCACCACTACAAGATGAATCGACAGATTCGGTGGTATTCATTGGCGGCAAATCATTGCAGCTTGGTGGCGGTGGCGTTAGCATAGTAGCATGGACGACGAGATGATTGAAAATGAACACAACGGAGATCTAGTCCGATTGGCAGACATCCATTTAAAATGTAGGCAACGGCATAAAAAAAGTGGTTTCTACTTTTACTTTTATACTTTAAGTAAATTTACAAGCCTGTACTTTGTTACTTTTACTTGAGTAAAGAAGTTTAATCAGTACTTCCACTTTTACCAGAGTATTTTTTAACACAAGTATCTGTACTTTTACTCAAGTACGGAAAGTGAGTACTTTTGCCATCTCTGCTGAAGACACAGACGTCCATCCCCGTGAGCACTGGGACGGAACTCAATGGGAAAGTTAATTATTCTACTTTCAACCGTTGCGTATATTAGCTGCAACATATGAATCAAGATGCTATGACCGAAAAAATTTGACCATTGATATATGATTGGCCCAATTTAGGTGCACAAGCTGACGTATAACTAACTGGCCTGTATAAGATAACGGGGGAAAAAACACAGATTTTAAGACAGGATTTTTTTTTAAAGATAAATTTTGGGTCAATATTGTGTGATAAAGAGTACATTTGTATACATGTTTAAGCCAGAAAGATTTGACATTTAAATAGGATTTCCTTACGACTTTAAGGAAATATCTTCATTAGGTACCAAGTCTTACTAGCCGGACTTGGAGGCTGGGGCTAACTGCTAGACCTAGAGCAGTTAAAACCAAACCAGCCTTTAATTTTCACACAACTTCATACTCATAAACCTAATTGCAGTTTATTGAAGTGCTGATTTGGGAACCTTTAAACTGTTGCCATGTTTACAGTAGATTAAAATTTACAGAGAAACTAATAATAATTAGGTATTTGTTAAATGGAGATTGGATGCTATGCACTATACTGATGTTCTTCTGTGGGACGTGCAGAAAATGGAATATGAGAAGCATTTCTGATCAGAGTAATTCGAAAAAATTAAATATAAAAGTTATTTAAACAGCAAAAAAGCTACAGTAATTTAAGTGAAAACTATCGTCTTCATTTGCTCCACATTTACAGTAGTTTTTAATGCAAGCTGAGCAAAGACTAATCTGAAAGGTTCCTAAACTAAAACTGAGCCTAACCACAAAAACCTCATAGCTGTTTATATAGAAGCTAACATTTGAGTCTATCCGTTTATAGTGAAGCTGATGGTTTTAAACAAATGATGAGGAAGAAGAAGAAATATTTTAGAATGTGTCTATTTTGCCTTCCTTGTGAATGCGCCTACAGCAGAAGTAGTGTTTACTGGAATGATGATGGTGATGTTATAGGCTGCCCTACAGATGCATGCATGGTGAAGCTGACTGGTTGGAATGGGCTCATTATAAGTCTGTCTGTGTGGCCATTATTTTTGGCAGAGGCAGGGGGGTGATGCAGCAGTTCTGTGGGGAGCAACATTTGTGCTCGGAAATCATGAAAATGGAATGAAACAACCAGACAATGTGGTTTTTGTAACAATCTTTGATAATAAAATCTAATAATTCCTTTCTTTACAAATTACGTTCATGACTTTTATAGATGCCGGATTTTTCATAAACCTACTGAGCATTCATACTAGCAGCCTTTGTGTTGCACTGCGACTAAACAGCATCCAAATATATACAGTATAACTAAAGGAGAAATTTATTTCAAAACCTCATACTAGTATTATCAAGTAAAAATATAAAGTAAATTGCAGTTCACTCCTTAAAGTGCACTTTTTCCCCCAAAAAAAGTTACTCAAGTCAGTGTTATTGCCTCCGGTCTTGTACGTGTACATTTGATACTTCAATCTAAAGTCTACAAAGACAGAACACACATTTTATTCATGGATAAATTCTAAAAGTCTTGAAGCTTTTGCAAAGAACGTGTTTGAAAAGCATCACTGGAACTTGGGAGCATCAACCAGCAGCAACATAGTAAAGGTTTTTACCTTTAAATAAGAAATGTATTTTGTTTTGTGTGTCTTACACACCTGTTGTGCATTAGCTTTCACTATGACCATAAATGTGCATGTTTTGTAACCAAGGCATGTTTATTGCGGAAACACCACCTCCTGCCTCCATTTGACATAAAAACGATAATCCGTGAAAACAGCCAAACATTACAGTCTATTCAAGGGAACATAATTTTCATTAACTGTTATAATTGTTCACAGATTAGACAATAGAGATTAGAATTGGTTGAAGCCAACCTGTCCAAGAGAAACCGGGGTTTTACCAACTCTAAAAACTCCAGTTCTACTATAAAACATATGAAGCATTTACAGAAATTGGCAGTTTAAGTCACAGATACTCAAAGGTCTATTGATAATTTCTGCCCTACCACCAATATTTCCTTAGTTACTCTCCCTGCAAATACTTGAGGTGTTCCACTTTTAGCTAGTGTTTAAACAAGAAGACTTTTGATGGGACACAAGTGTGCAAATAATCATCTGTCTTTGAGAAAATAACTAAATGCAAATGTGTCAGTAGTGCAGAAATTTTTAAATAGTGTTTGCTGCTGCAGTGTTTTTTAGACCTCTGCAGCCTGCTCTGACTTGAGGCTTTATTCATGTCAGAGCTCTTTTATCCCTGTTCCCATAATTAAACAAGACAAATGTTTTCTGTAGGTAAGTTGTTAACTGCTTCAACAAATAAACTTGCAGTTTTCTCCGTTCACCTTTCTAGATCTGTAAAATCCTGACTACCTGAACCTATATGTCTGCATTCAGAGCCACACCTCATTTCCATAAGGAGAGGGTTTAAATCAAGTCAGGTCTTAGCTAAAGGGCAGGAGGTTTTAGAATGCTGCAGGCACAATGGAGACTTCTTCCAGTTTCCAGATTGAGTCTCAGCAGGGGTGAGAGATGAGTCCCCCCCGCCTACCGACGAGGAGCTTGTGTGATGGATGACCCTTGCACAAGCTAAACACACTGTGGGGGCCTTGGAGGTACACCAAGGCCACTACAGAATAACATTGTTTTGCATTTAGTACACACAGACCATGTGACTATCACCAAATGTTCAGATAAGTTTGAGCATGAAACATTGGTTCAGCTGCAAACACAAATCAGTTAGACTAAAAAGAGTTTCCAGGTCATTAAGCTGGATAAACCCACTAAGTATGTGTTAGTCTTGGCATTGGAAGGGTGGAATAATTGTCCAACAATGTGATTAGAACAGTAACGGTATTGTTGTTCTCTTACAGGGGAGAGTACAACAATAAAAAAAGAGAAAAAAAAATGTTGGCTTGAGATGGGTAAACACAGCTAATGAAGTGAGATGTTTTAGCATGACTCATGGAAATTCTTTAGTGATGTCAGTACACCTAGACATTTTTCAGCCCCCTCTTTGCAAAATGCCAAGTCGTTGTTGTCAAACCCTATAACTGCAGTAAACTCTTTGTTTAAGCTACAGTTCAGGACTGTTTTCCATTTTTCACAACAAAATAAAGTGGAAAATAAACTGGAGTTGGGTGAGTAAGTGTGTATTTCTACTCATTTATATCAAAGCATACAACGTTTTTAGAATATTGCATCCAAATAAGAGCATCTCTACTTTCTGTAAGGACATTTCAAGAGGCATAGCTATCTGGTCAGACTATGAAGACCCCATACTGTCGTGGGTGGTGAGGCTAAGGTAGATGAAATTGTTTTCCCATGATTGACCGTTTAAACATCTGTCTGTAAAGTCAATAAAAAAAAACCTGCATCCACTCTAAACAAATTCTTCATTGGCTCATGCAAACAACTTCTCCCTTTCTTGAGTGCCGAGTAAAGAGGTTATTTTTTCTAATCTCTATGCTATGATGTTTACTGGAATGATGATGTAGGCTGTTATTGGCTGTCCTGCAGATGCACACATGGTGGAGCTGACTGGTTGGAATGGGCTCATTATAAGTCTGTCTGCCTGGCAATTATTTTTGGCAGAAGCAGGGGGTGATGCGGCAGTTCTGTGAGAAACATCATTTGCACTGAAATATTATGGTGATGCAGGGAAACAACTAGACCTTGATTCTGCTATTAGAACTTGGCCCCAAATGATCACAAAGGACCTTAATGATAATGTCTACCCATCCTAGGCATCATCAATGACTTCCCTGTGTTTTATTCTTGACAGATTTACCATCTATCCAATCAGTTTAGTTCATTCACTACTCCAGGTAGATACATCCGTACTAGAAATTTGGGTTAAAACCTGGATATCCTCATTAAAAACAACAACAACAGACAAACAAGGGTAATAACTGATTTAATATAATTTGACTTAGTTCTGTAGGGCCAACTTATGACATACGTATGTCATCTCAAGGAACTTCACAGAAAAAAACTTAAGCAGATCAAACAGGCAAATTGGTTAAAGGTTTTCTTTTAAAGGACACCCAGCTAAGTGGATCAAGTGCATTTGCAGGATTTGTTTTTCCTCTATCAGCATGTGGTGACAGTAGATATTTGCATGCACTTTGACGTTAACTCTACAGCAATGCCCCACACCAAGCATGAATGCAGCTACAATAGAGAGTAAAAAAACTCCCTTTTAACAAAAAAATCCTCCAGCAAAACCAGGTTGAGAGAAGAAGACACAAAATAGGAACATAGAAGCACTGGTCCGTAAATACTTACTATGTTAGAAAAAGTAACAATAAACTAGCACCAAAGGTGGGTCTGTCCAGGAAAGACACAGTTAAACAGATGACCTCTGAACCAGTTTTCATGTCAAAAGTGATGAAAGAGAGCACTTTTGGTTAGTCATAGTAAAAGTGGGGTCCATAGCTATGTCTAGGAGAGAAACAGGACTTAACACTGACAAACAGGCCCACCTCCATCCTCAATAATCAGCGTTGATAGCAGAGACCCAGCTAATATTTCACTCCTGGAAGGACCGAAGAAAGTAGAGAACATAAATTTAGGGACAAGTACTGCAGTTTGAGAGAAAAGAGATAGAATAAAGCAGAATATTAAAAAGCAATCCCATTGTTTTCCAGCAGCCTAAGCCTATAGCATCATAACTAGAGATAGCTTATGATAACTTGAACTACTCTAACTATAATGTCTTTAAAAAATGTAAGCCTACTCTTAAAAGTATACAGAGTGTCCTCCTCACAGACTAAAATAAAAACTAAAAGATCTGCCTACCATCTTCTTTTATAAATTCTAAGAACCACTATTAAACCTCCAGACTGAGAGCAAATTGCTCTGTTAGGATCATAAGGAACAATCAGATCTCTGATATAGATAGTTTATTAAATGCCCAACCAGACAGGATAACATTCTGGATCACTGCTACACCACAGTCAGGAATGCTTATCACGGCGTGCCCCGTGCTGCAATGGGCCGACCCCGTCATGGTCCGCCTGGTTGCTGCTTACAGGCAGAAACTAAAGCTCTGCAAACCTGTAGTAAGGACATCAAAGAAGTGGACCAGTGAGGTTGTGGAAGATCTTCAGGTGTGTCTGGATTCTACTGACTGGGATGTATTCAGTGCTGCTACCAACAGTCTAGATGAGTACACAGAGGCTCTGACATTATACATCAGCTTCTGTGAGGACTGATGTGTTCCATCACAAACCAGGGTGAGTTACAATAACGACAAACCCTGGTTCACAGCCAAACTCAGAAGGTTAACGTTGGATAAAGAAGAGGCCTTCAAGAGTGGGGACAAATGCAGATTCAGAGATGCATAGTACAAGTTCAGCAAGGCTGTGAAAGAGGCTAAACGACTGTACTCTGAGAAGACTCAAAACCTGTTTTCAGCCAATGACTCTGCTTCTGTCTGGAAAGAGCTTAGAAAAATCACAAATTAACCTCTCACAATACCCGCCTTAAAGACCCATCCATCTTCCCTCATCCCACCTGAGTGACAACTCTTTCCATAAACTCTTCAGAAGACAGAACCCCAGAAAGCTGCTGCACCAGATTCTTTCTCTCTTGAAGCACTGTGCTGGTCAGCTGTCTCCGGTGTTCACAGACATCTTTAACACCTCTCCTGGAGACATGTCACATGCCAACCTGCTTCAAATCCTCCAGTATTATCCCTGTTCCCAAGAAACCAAGGTCCGCAGGACTTAATGACTTGAGACCCGTCGCCCAGACCTCTGTGGTTCTGAAGTCCTTTGAGCACCTTGTGCTTTTACACCTGAAAGAGATCACTGACCCCCTCCTGGACTACCTAATGTTTTCCTACAAAGCTAACAGGTCTGCAGACGATCCTGACAACTTGACCCTTCACTATATCCTCCAGCATCTGGATTCTACAGGTACCTATGCCAAGATCCTGTTTGTGGATTTCAGTTTTGCCTTCAATACAGTCATCCCAGCTCTGCCAACTGAGTGTGTTTGATTCCAACTGAAGGTGGATTACAGACTTCCTGTCTGACAGGAAGCAGCACTTGAAGATGGAAAAAGATGTTTCTGACTCCCAGCCCTGGTTTCCCCCCAGGGCTGTGCTCTTTCTCCTCTGCTCTTCTCCCTGTACACCAACAGCTGCACCTCCAGTCATCAGTCTGTCAAGCTTCTGAAATTCGTGGACGACACCACTCTCATCTGACTAATTTCTGATGATGACAAGTCCGCCTACAGGTGGGAGGTTGACCATTGGGCAACCTGTGCAGGGACAACAACCTGGAGCTTGACGCTCTAAAAACAGTAGAGATGGTTTCAGACTTCAGGAAGAACTCAGCCCCAGCTGAACATCAACTCCCTCACCAAGAAAGTCCAGCAGAGGATTTACTTCCTGCGGCAGCTGAAAAAATTCAAACTGCCAAGAACAATGATGGTGCACTTCTACTACTCCATCATTGAGTCCATCCTCACCTCCTCCATCACCATCTGGTACGCTGGTCCCACCGCCAAGAACAAGGGTAGACTGGAGCGTGTCGTCCGGTCTGCAGAGAAGGTGATTGGCTGCTATCTTCCATCTCTCCAGGATCTTTATGCCTCCAGGACTCTGAGGTATGCAGGGAAGATTGTGGCTGATCCCTCGCACCATAGCCACAAACTATTTCAGTCACTTCCCTCTGGAAGAAGGCTGCAGACCATCAAGACCAAAACCTCACGCACAAGAACAGTTTCTTCCGATCCGCTACCAGCCTTATCAGCAAGGCCCAGAGACCCCCTTGACACTTGACACTGCCTCTCTCCCTACCCAGTTCAGGACCTAGAAGCTACACCAATGTAGCATCTCCAGGCCTCCTGCATTACATTAACGCACAGTCTACTATATATATAGTACATAGCTATATGCTGTATATTGTATGTTTTGTATTGTATATAGCTATACATTCTGTATATGTATTTTGAATATGTCTGCACCATCAACACCTGGTCAAATTCCTTGTAAGTGCAACCTACTTGTCAATCAGATTCTGATATGAGATGGAGCTTGGTTATAAAGAGCTTTATACACGAGTCGATGGAGGATGTTGAATTTTATTCAATACATTGCCTTATGTAATGCCATAAGCATCTGTAAGCTGGTTTTATGAAGGCAGATTGTGTCTGGATTAAATAATGGTTTACAACAAAATAGCTAAATAAATAAAACTGAGCCTGACATGTTCTTCTATAAGTGATTAACGATCTGAAATGGGTTTCATTGGTTTTAATGTAAAGTCGGACTATGAGCTTTAAATTTCCTTCATGCAGTGAGATTGTTTTCTTTGAAATAACACCACAAGAAAGCGTTTTCAACACCTTGTAGGCAGGCTGAAATAACAGAACTGGCACAAGAATGTTGAATAGAGCTGCATTCATTTCTTTTACATTACTGACTACCACTTAAATACTCAGATATCCTTATTAGGTCCCTTTTCTTATGGTTTGACTTCAAAGTCCGAATAGAGCTCAAAAAGACGACTGTACCACCCTGCAGCTCAGACTTCATAATCTTGAGTCCTGATATTTTCACGTGGAGGGAAAAGAAGCAGTGAGATTTTTATTACCCTTTTCAACATCCAGTAATGACAGTTCCCTCCTCTAAGCTGGTTGTGACTTTTTTTTTTTTTTTTCGAAAATGAAGAAGCATATTGTAAACACGGGCCAGAAATAAATAGGCTGCCATGACAATTACTCACTCTCATCTTCCCAGCAGTTGTATATTAAACCCTGTGCCCTTCCAAAGACAGAATCTCTTAATCTTCATTTTTCATATACCAGTGTTTCCTGACCTCTGGCCAAGTGCAGCACCATAAATCTGGATGTATGCTGCAGCCTGTAACAGCAGCCATCAGACGGTATGTTCATTTTTATTGCAGTATGTTCAATATTCTCGTCTTGTTAACAGTGCATTAATTCACTGAGGATTATGAGCCACTTCTGTCCTTTGTTCAGCTGTTCCCAGTGTTATACTGGGATCCCAGCTCATGGTTTCATTTAATGACCGCCTACTAGCAGTGAGGTTGTTTTTTTTTTACCATGAAAAACTACCTTCTCCCTTTTGGGGTTTGCACAGATTCTCTCCCATTACAGCCATCATTTT